GTAACACGTACACAAACATACATATAAAATATACTATGTTCATTGTTCCTAAGAACTTCTAGAGATGCCTTGGTGCTTTTCTTGCACAGTGAAGCAATGTGATATCATTTATTTAATTGCTGCTGTATATTGGTCAATGTTACTGCATTGCTATAATAACTGTCAGTCAGACCAGACTACAATTTGGGTAATGAATGGGGAAAAAACCTCACAGCAATATGTTCTGAGAGAAAGTCAGGCATACGATGACTCTTTCCTAGAACAGAATCAGATTATCAGCACGAAGAGCTAGAATATCAGATTCAGGAAAAAGGTATATGAAATAATTGTCATTATGCATGGTTTGGAAGGCTGGCTGACTAATTCTCTCATAAGAAAAATAGCAAACAAAGTGCTTGATGCTTCCCATGGGTTGAAAATTTCATCACCCTGCTACTTGTGCCATAACGATGCAAGTGTTTTGTTCTGTAAATTGCAAGAGCATATAGTATAAAGAATAAAGTTTTCAACTACTGGAATTAAATCGTTGTTTAAAGTCAAATGAGCACGCCACACCTTGGAGTGCCTTTCATCAGAGCAAGTCAGTTAGCTTTAATGAAGTCACCTTCAATTTGCTTTGATGTAACATCAGAACCCAGCCCAGATGATCGCAAATGATCAGCAAATAAATTTCCACGTTGCAGTCTTTCAAGGACATAGACTTCATGAAGTGTCTAGTTTTCTGGATTCTTTAACTTCTGAAGTCCTTAATTTGAATCCCTTCCAATAAGGCCTGCTGCTTGTTTTTTTCGAGGGAGCTGCTGACCTTTCTCTGAAGCCGAGCCCCCTTTAAGGTGCCGTCTGTCGGGCAAGCAAAGCAGAGGCACGCAGCATCACTGCTTGCTGTTCCTCTTTTAAGTCTAAGACTGTATCATTCAGAAAGGTTAGGCTGCTGTGGTTTCCCTTTGGGGAGGGGAGAGATTTGGAGTCTCAGACATGTAATTTCTGTAATTACTCGAGCAAGCACTAGTTGTCAGGCCAGGGATGGCAACATTAGGCCCTTCTGTTCTAATTTTTCCAAAGGAAGTTATATTAAATAGTAAAGCTAATAGTAGTCAAAGTGCCAAATAGCCTCTCACCCTAAATCGTAGCAAAAGGGACAAATGTTACAATTTCCTTCAAAATGAAGCTTCCTAAAATATTTTCAGAAATATTTAATGTGCATTGAAGTGCTTCACTTAGTAAGATAAAAGGATTTCTACTGTTTGAAATCACTGACTGCAACAGAAGTCTTGAAGAGTTTTAGTCATGTTTCAACAGAAACTATGACTGTCTCGCTCTCCACTCCTCTTACAGAACATTGTTTCATTAGAAAATTCAAACAGTCCTTCTGAAATACCCCGAATATCACAAAATCACATTTTTTGCTTACAGCTTCCTCCTTTGCATGACCCAGTTGGAGACATGATTATATCAGTTCCTAATTGTGAGCCTCCCTTGTGCTGGTTTCTCCCTGTCCATGCAGAATGCAGGAGTATAATACCAGCTGCAGGCTGATCACTGGTGCTAACCCAGTTGCTTTATGATGACTGCTACAAGCAAGAATGGAAGGTTCTCAGATGTTTTTGAACCAGTTTCAGTGGAAGAAAGACCCATAAGGTACATTTCTACAAAGAAATGTGAGCATTGAAGAAGAGTGGTTTGTGATGTATGAAGCAAATTTGTTCAGTGTTTAGGGACAAGAATTCTGTTTTTGAAAAGGTCACGTTTGACTAATGTTAGTTGTTCAGAGTAGGAACTCTCGGTGTGTTTGTATGTTAATAGCAAACTGTAGGCATCATAATATTTGTAATAATTAAGATAGAACCAGTCAGGACTGCACTAGAGAATGGCAACCAGTGTCCTAAGTCTTATCCAGCCTCAGCACACTCAGTTGTGTCTCTTAGCAGCAATTCAGCACAGTGCTATGACTGGGATTTGTCTCTGAGCGAATTGTTACCAGTTAAGGCAGCGGGAAACTTTGACTCATGAGCTAGCTCCTGTTGGCCAGAAGTTTGGACAGCAGAGACACAACTCTGTTTTTCCATTTACCTGAAAATGCAGCTGGGCAGAGATTCATGTGGCCAGCCTCACATCGCAAGGAAGGCTCTTCCCTCCTCTCCTTCTGCACGGAGCAGGAGCATGGCTGAAACAAGCATGCAAAAACTTTCTAAATGCTTCTGCAAATACCTGAAGACAGTTTCATGAATTCAAGAATAATATGAGACATGAATGACAACTATATAGGTATTTGAAATAATTATAATAATCTTTGGAAACCTTTAGCTTACTTTCTTGCAGTTGTTGCATTAGGTCCAAATTCTCTAGGATTTAGTGGCTTTTTTTGTTGGTTTTTGGTTGTTTTTTTTTTTTTTTTTTTTTTAGCAGAGAGGTGATGAGAAGGACTAGGCACTCTGCCATCCTGCTGGGGCTCAGCTCAGTCCAGCTGAACTCATTTCTTGCCTTCTCCTTGTACATTTTGAGACAGGACAAGAGCACTTTCCTGTTTGTCTTCTGGGCTAGTTCCATACCTTACTAGAGGAAAATGTGTTTGGGAGAGGAAGAGAGCATAGCTGGCCTGGGAGGAAGAGTAGTCATTGAACAGCGGGAGGGCTCTGGTTTGTGTTACCAAATGTTGGGGGATAAGCCATCAAAGGTGGTCCGAGATCCTAGTACGGCAGTGTGACTGAAGAAGAGAGCCGTCTACTGATACCACGTTCCCTTGCCTTGAGCATACTTTTCATTTTTCCTAGCATTTTGTTTCACTTACAGCTTTGAAGAAGTTCATTATTGATTAAGCATCAGTATCAATCCCAGTAGCTCGGTGCTTTGGTCTCTTCTCTCTGTGTCCCAGTAATGGAATAACCTAGAAAAAGATGCTGTTTTGAAGATTCATTTTTCTGCTTTCCCCTCATGGATGCGTGGCCTGTGGGGTTTCTGCTCGTGCCTCTGTTCAGTCTCCCTTGCTAGTGAGACCTGGAGCTCACCTCCCACACGCACCCATAATGAGACCAGGGCTGCACGAGCCTCTTGCTTTCCCTTCTTTTCAGCAACTCACTAGGCTTGAATGCTTGGAGCTGTCTGAATTTTTCAAAAGCTTGGCCATACCAAGAATGTTTTTCTGTAGGGCATCCTTTTTTTCTTCTTCTGCCCTCCCTCCTCCTGCTAAGACTAGTGATTCACTCTGAGACAGTTGAGCATTTCAGTGCATGATGATGAGGAACATGAAGAAGACATCAAAGACACAAACACAAGCAAGGTCTGTCCTGACTTGGGATCACTGATTGCAGTATGAGGTATGTGTTTTTGTAGGCAATGTCTGAAATTCAGTACCAAAATTCCCAAGTACTGCAGGTACTCAGTCCTTTTATGTTCAGACAGACAATTTGTAGTGTTGCACTTAACCTTAGCACAGGATTTTTTCATAAGCACTTGCAGTAGAAAATGCTAACTTTACTCTTTCAGATGACTAACGAGCTGCTGTCTCTCTGTTCTGTCCTGTAATTAAGCAGAGATGATGGAGCTACAAGTGAGGACAGTGTTAGCGATAAGGTGCAAGAGAGATTCCTGCACAAGAAACTAAACTGTCCCAGACCTTACTGTGACTTGGAGAAGCCAGTCCCAGCTTTGTACTGCCTTGTGTGTCTGTTACTAGCAAATGTTGACAGTTTCTTTCTGCCTTTCTCTTTAATTGTTTAGTTGAAATAATGACATTTTCCTCTTGAAAAAGTCTTAATTTGAAAAATGTCGAGCAGGTCAAACTCTTAATTGTTTTGCTCTGCGTTGTAAATGATTTGGAGGATATTTGTGCATTTCTGTAAGGTATCCCCAAGACTATTATAAACAATTTTTTGCTTATAATGACTTGTTGATAGTGAACCTTTTGGAAATAAGAGCTTTGAAATTAAACACGGGGTATTTGAGGAGCTTATTTATGAGAATTCAGCACCAAGTTAAATGCCTGTTGCCATGGAAGAGGTTCTTGGCGATGTGATCATATGGACATTTTTTATGTCAGTTTAGTTTTGTTTTCCATGTATTTTTGAGTTGACCAATAATATACCAGTGAATGAAACCTATAAATGCGTTGTTGACTGGCTAATATCTCAGAACTAACCAAGTGGGGCGAATCGTTTTAGCTCAAGTGTGTCCAAACTTTCTGATCCTATAAGCTCTAGAAGCTGAGTGTCTTACATAATATACGTATGTCGTTCATCAGAGATCTGAAGGACAGAGGAAGGCTGGAGTCATTCCCAGGTGAGAGACGGTGTCAGGTCCCTAGTGGCTTTAGCACAACTTTGTGGGAACAGGCTGGGCAAGGTGTGCAGTTGAGTCCAAATAACCCATCTATTGACTCACATAGTGAAATTAGATTTACCCTGTATTTTCCACCCAGCAGCGGCTGGTGACCAGTTCCATAGCTGTATTCCCAGCATGGGAACCAAACCTGAACCATTTAAGAGCTGCAGGTGGTCTTAGAGCCACAGAGCAGATGCCTCAGCTCTGACACTTATTCCAGAACTGACATTAATATGGAGTTAAACTGGCAGATCTACATGTGGTAGAAATTCAACATATCTCCCTTAAAATGAATGGCGCTATGCTGGGAAAGGGCCTGGCCTCCAGTTCTTATGAGGAAAATTTATTTTCATTATCTTAAGGATAATTAGGCATTTTGGAATGTTTGGAAACAAGATTCCTGTTTCCAGGTATTTATACAGGAAAAAGGAGAAATTGTGAAAGCTGCTAATTGATTTTTCATAGTTTGCTCGTTAATAATTATGCACTGATACTACAGGATGTGCCGACATGGACTCTGGTTTGAAAAGCTGAGGATAATTTCCATAGAGCCATGAGGGTTTCTGAGCTGGGTTTGATGGGAGTTCAGATCTTGTTTATCTAAAAACATTCTGTCATCACAGAAGAGGTTAGATCCATTTCCTTTATATTAACAATTCGATCTTTTTGTCTTTTTCATTTAGGTCTGGCAAAGCCCATGGGATTAGTTGAAGGTCCAGGAGGCTTGGGCCAGGGGGGAATGGCTGCTACCCTGAGAGATGATAGCCATGAATCAGAGACTAAGTACGAAGAATACGGTTACAACGCCCAACTCAGTGATAGGATATCACTGGACAGGTCCATCCCTGACTACAGACCAAAAAAGTAAGTTGAATTCCACGTTGCTGTTAAGAGTAAGTGATTGATTGTTGTTCTGTTGACCCATGATGGCATTCTTCTCTTCACATCCCTTCCTGGTTAGAGTATGACAGCAGTTAGTCGTACGTGTACCCCTGAGCTTAGTGAAAGTTAGAGAGACTGAGTGCCATCTCCAGCATGAAGTGCCATGTTAAATGCATAGCTAATTCTGTGAGTAATGCATTATTATGCACATTCAAGGCCTCAGATCAAAAACTACATCAGGATATTGGTGCTTACTGGGTTTGGTTCACTTGGAAAAGGCCAGGTAGTGCCAGCTGAGCTCCCCATCAGAGGTGGGAGCCTTAGTCTGTGCTTCTTGTAGTCATGTGTAATGGAAGGTGGGGCAGCGACAGCAAACACTTTGTAGACACTGATCACTTAAAAAAAAGCCCATCAAATTAACTGCCTTTTCTTTAATTGCATTTGATGTTCTTGGAATCGTTTAGTCGGGGTTTACAATGTGCTGAAACATGGACTAAGTGTAATCCATCGGAGTCCTATAATTGCAATAAGATCTTTTTTGTCTTTGGAATGTGTGCTTATTTTTATTCTAGCGTTATAGTCTTCACATGCCTGTGCTATGTTTGACATTGCAATTATATGTTTAATATTTGTGCTGATTTATTATATTTTGTATTAAATGTCTTTCAAATCTTTCATATTTATGGAGTTATGTATCTTCTAGATGAGACATCCGCACTGTCATCCTATGAATGACAATCAGTAATGTCTTAATGCAGAGGAGATCAGCAGCGATGCCTAGTTACTCTCAGGAGACAGAATTGAAAAGAATACTAAATTAATTTCTAATAACAATCTTCTGTTTTAAAAGACCCACTGGGGCTCCTAGGCAGAACGGAAAGTTAAATAAAAAAGTATCTTATTAAGTGATGAGAAAAGTTTAGCCAAGCAAAACAGCTGTGCTCTGTGAGTAGATTGCAATTGAATTAGGATTTTAGGCAGTTCAAGCTGCCAAAAACAAAATCCAGCAAAACAAAACTTCAGTTTAACTACAAATTTCATTAGCTGTGTTACATATTAATCTAATCTCAGAAGTATTGACTCAGCATTTATTCATTTCTGGGTTTTGCTATACAAAAGAAAACCTAGGTAAAAGAAGTGGCAAAGAGAAAAAAATCTACTGCTTTGATACCACATTTGATGCAAGTATACTGACTTGTCCAATGGTCTCGTCTCTCCATCTCTCTCGATGTATCATAAAAATACATCATGGAATTATTCTGAGGAAGAAGTAGTCTGTAGTTATGCAAATATTTGAGTTGTGCATCAGATCTGGTCCAAAGACCCTTAAAATAAGTGTGAAGTTTTTCAGATGAAAGTCAGTGAGGTCTGACCTGGCCTGTTGTTAGCTGCTGTGGTGAGGTGGATAATAAACGAGAGTGCTCTACTAGGAAGTACAAAAGCGAAGGTTGCAGAGCTTGAATCTAGCTCAGCGACTGTCGGAAGCATGAGAGCATTTGCAATGCAGTGATGTTTCACTTCAGATTACACTCTTCCACAGTTTTACCGGGGAGCTTTGATGAGTCATTCAGATAAGCTTTTTGACGTGCTCATTTTGGGAATGTCATAAGGCCATGCTGCATGATTAACTGTCTGAGTTACCGGGAAAACTGCTTTCCTTGTGGTGTGTTGAGACTTTTGAGGTGGTTCTAGTTAGGTCGAGATGCTGGAATTGAAACACTTGTCTCTAGATACTTACGAGTCACAGGAAAATCCTTCAGATTGAATTTGCTATGAAAAATGAGTGATGATTTGCTGTGAAAAATGAGCACAAGTCTTACAAGGAGCAGCTGAGGGAGCTGGGGTTGTTTAGCCTGGAGAAAAGGAGGCTTATCTTATCCTTGTCGTTCTCTACAGCTCCCTGAAAGGAGGCTGTAGCCAGGTGCGGGTCGGTCTCTTCTCCCCAGTAACAAGCACTAGGACAAGAAGAAACGGCCTCAAGCTGCGCCAGGGGAGGTTTAGGTTGGGTATTATGGCGAGTTTCTTCACCGAAAGGGCTGTCAGGCCCTGGCCCAGGCTGCCCAGGGCAGGGGTTGAGTCCCCATCCCTGGAGGGATTTAAAAGAAAGGGTAGATGTGGTGCTTGAGGGCATGGTTTAGTGGTGGCCTTGGTAGTGCTGGGTTAATGGTTGGACCTGATGATCTTAAAGGTCTTTTCCAACCTAAACGATTCTATGGTTCTCTGAAAGTTTGGAGAAGGTAGAAGCTCTTGTGGAGAGTTTTATCAACTTGTATCAAATGAGCTTTGGCTGCCATTTGGTTGCCCTTTTCTATTAGAAATTTCTGTTGTCCTCATGAGCAGCATTTTTTGTCTCTGACCCTTCAAATCATAGAATCATAGCTACTCATGCACAGGTACTCATACACAGTCTCTCTCAGGAGCTCTCACTCTAATGCTAAGACTGTTTTCACTCCGTACCCTACCAACCTCTTCTTATCCACCATGTAGTACCACACTGCTTGCCTAACAGGTGATAGCTGTGCCTCACAGCCATACGGCAAAGCTGAGCTTGGCGTTCTGTTTGGTTTAGACCAAACTAATTATATACTGGAGAGAACTCTAATTATATACTGGAGAGAACTGAGCCTCCAGATCTTTCAAATAGGCTTTGGGAAAACACTCTTGTTTTGTCCAACTTTGTATGCCGACTTGCCCAATGGTCTCATCTCTCCATCTCTTGATAACAGTTCTCATTGCTGAGCCCTTCTCAGTCTGCTTGTGATTTATATTCGTGTCATTCCCAGAACATTTTAAAAAAGGGAGGACTTTTCATTTTTAAATTGAGAAGCAAGGTAGAATTAATGTTCAAGGCCATGTACAAAGTCCATGGCCAGTCTATGACTAAAAACACTTATCTGGACCGCATTCCCAAAGTATTAAACGATGCTTTTTTTTCCCCATTCTGGCTTCCATTTAAAATGTTCAGATCTACATATTTGCACACAGCAGTAGGTATTAAAGATCTGAACCAGGAAAATTTATACTCAAGTCTGCATTGCATAGACGCAATTTATGAAAGTAAACATGATTTCGCTGTGCAAATGTGGGACTTGTAATATTCAAGACTTAGTCTTCTTTTAAAAGAAATTTGATTAGAAATATTATCTTTAAGTTCATTTTATCTTTGAACTCCCCCCTAATTGTTGTCCGGTATCTTATTCTGGTAGAATAAGCCTTTTGTTCCATCGACTAGCATAGCTACAGTAAACATTCAGTGGTTTAATTGCTTTTCAGGAGGTATTTTCATCCCCACACAGCAAATTAAAAAAATATGTTACACTAAAGAGGTATACAGTCAGACAGCGTGACCATGAAGGCTCCTAAATTGGAGTCACCTCCCCGTCCTTCCACTGCGGTGAAGCCTGCAAGCCTGGGTGGGTAGAGATGCTTTTCCCATATACTCACATGGTTTTCTGCTTTCCTACCTGCTGCTGCCAGTGCAGATATTCCTTTTAACTCAGAAGCCTTTTCTTTACGATAGGAATCTCTAAGTACAGGAGACAACAACAGATTTTGTGCATGTTGCGTTTGTGTGCCAAATCGAAGCAATGACAGTAAATAGCTTGCTTGCGATTACAATTCACACAATAATTACAAAATTATAGTTTGATCCTAACATGGTGTAATAAACGTCTCAGCTTTTTCTTCTCTGATATTGCACCTCCCACAGCTTGAATGCTTGCCCTGTCTCTATGTAGAAAGCAGACAACCCTGGGGAAACAGTTCAAAAACATACTGTGAATTGATATTTCAAGCTATGATTAGTTTCAAGAGACATGTAATATAGAGCAGCTGCAATTTTGTTTTATAAAACAATGCAAAGCCTCCCCAACAGTTTGTAAGTTTGTTCAGTCTGACCTTGAACGCTATTTTCATTTCTTGTTGGATTTCACCTCAATCAAATGGGCTGATTTTGAAGTTGGGCTGATGATCTTTCCGTAATGGATTATGTAAGTCGTAATGGTGACTTTTTGCCTTGAAGCAGCTGAGTGCAGTGCAGCTGAGTACTCTGAGAAGATGCAAAGACCGAGAATGGGAATGCAATGTGTTTGAGTTCAACGTCAAGCAGAATATTGAGGATTTATTATGGTTGATTGATGAGTATTTAGAAATGTTCAGCTAATTATCCTAGTATTGGACTGACCTGAGACTTTGCTTCATGTACTCAGTGGAAAGTGGTCGATATCTTGTTGTCTGTTGAAATACATGAAAATAACTCTAAGATAATAGTCTGGTTAGTACTCACTGTTATTAACTACCTAAATTCTAGAGTAATTTTTTTTAGTACGGATGAAATCTGCGTTAATGCCAAAAGAATTTAGCAGGATTATTTTTGTTACAAGGGAATTCATAAGGCTTGTGATGGGATTGGTTTCATCCCCTGTCATACAGGCACATATCAAGCTTGAAAAACATTTCTCAAGTTACAGGCAAGCCACAAGAAGAAGGGGCAAGGACAGTAGCACAGGTCTCTGCGTGTCCCTGCTGCAGCCCCATCTTTGCTCCCCGGTGTGCTGAAGTTTTTCAAGGGCTATATCACCATGGAAAATACGTTGCAGAGAGCTCAGGATGTTTAATGTCCTGATCTCTCTTCCCAGCAGTGAGGTATTAGCAGGACTTTCTAGCCCTCGGTAACATACCCCGTTTCCTCTGTGCAATGGAAGAAAGAGAAGCTTCTCTTGTAAGGAACAGGTTATTTTTTCCCTTGGAAAACGGCTAAGCTAGAACTTGCTATGTGGTTCTCTGGGAAAAGTGTTATTTAATGGCGAAATGTTATTGGATTAATTTCCATTTATGTTCTTGCATATTCAAAGTGAAGGTTGTGATCACATGAACTCAAGTACTTAGTGGAGACAAATCCAGTGTTGCCCAATGACCCTGATGTATATGCGCGGGAAAGCATAAGCACATGTATTTGTATCAGTTATCTCTACCAATATGTG